ACAACGGCTAATTTCCAACATGTTGAAGGGAACGTCGAACCTTCGACGATTGATCAACTTTTGAAAAAGTTCTTCAATTCCTTGTTGAAAGTGAATCTTTTTGGTTCCGAATGGAAGCTTTGTAATCGTTGATTTTGACGATCTTCTAATTTTACCTGGGAATGACGTAGAATATCATAAAATGAAGATATGATGTTTTTGGAAAACGTGTGAGTGTGAGTCTTTTTTCTGTGAATAGCACAGAAAAAAGACTAAAGTTGAAGTTAAAAATCCGAAATTTCATCACATAATTGGTATTACTTTGGACCACTTCTGAATGCAATTTCAATTCAACCGGTCAAGTAGGGCTCGAGATACCGCAATTTCTCAAAAACATTCTCTCCTGTATATCTGGAAATTAGATGATTGAATTGAATTTTTTTTTCATGGCAAGATATTTCTTGTGATAATATGTATCAAATCAAATAACAATACTGCTATGTAATTAGGGACAGTTAGGTAATAATCCACATTTATTGTTCTTACGTATAAAATTTGGTGTCGATCGATTCAATAGATCCTGATATAGAGCAATTCATCAAAAAATCTTTTTTTCTGAAAAGTCACACAGCGTCATTTTATGGATTATTTTCGACTTTAGGGGCTTATTCTCGACTTGTTTTACTAACTTTTATTACAGATGACAAAACCGTAATTCAGCAGATTTTCTTCAATCATAAAATTGTTACATATTTCGCACCCATTGTCCCATAGCTGACTAAATCTATCTATCATTTTTTGCCAGACCCTGCAATATCAGCAACAATGACATCCGCGCAGCTAACAATAGCGCTAGGAAGACAATAGTTGAGAAAAGGAAATTAGATTCAACCAGTCTGTCATTCACTGGGATCAACCCCAGCTACAACAACATACCTTTCATGAAGCATTGAATCTCCCGATACCCCTACGACAATTAGATAAATGTACTTTATTCGAACTTTTTGGTACTGGAAAAGGCACGGATGACATGCGTCTAGCGTGTGATATTTGAACATTCTCCACACCTGACAGACAGCTGTGTATCCACGATTCCGGTCCCTCCGTTATGGTTCTTGATTACATATATAACTCACCCCATTATATCCCCAGTAGGTAACATAAGGTTTTCCCAACCGTTGAATCTCTCGATATCCCGGAATGTGTGGAGATTGATATAATCCCCTTTTGCATTAGATACGCTACGGGATCACCGTCCATCAAGATCAAGAGCTCACTGCATTACGACTCAATCTGGCCCATCAACCTCTGAACTCTGACTATTCACGTAAACCATAAAGTATATGTTTAACTAACACCAAAAGCCAGCCAAACCCAGACAGATAATCTTGGGATTACAATGAAATGGCTGGTAAACGAACCATGGATCCGTGTAATACGCACCGACGCACCTCGTGGGTGTCCGTACGAAAACTTTCTCGCGCATAACTCATGTAAATAAGACGGTTGCCATTGTTGTCTAACAGCGCTTGCTTAATGCACAATCAGTGCTATCGTTGTACGAATATATCGCTTACCATATAACTATTATGATTGGAGAGGTGAGCGTAGGTTACAACCGTGTAACGAGTATTATTCACTGGACCACCCCTGGCGCCTCTGGTTTCTTATTTTAAAATAAGAAACGCAGAAATCACACATACACACTGAAACAGATCGGGCTTAAATTAAGATCGGAATGTCGGGAAGTTTAAGGTCGGTCATCGGTCGTAAATATTGAATACCTAACATATCATATGGATCTTCCCTCAATTTTGGGGGGTTTTGTAGGGTTCATAACAGCTGCGCCCATGTCACAATTCGTAGGTAATGCTAAGTGCTCCTAAGCTCGAGATAAATTACTTACTTTATGTTGTTGAATTTAATTTTGAGTTCCTAATTAATGATTTAATTAAACAAGCAGGGGTTCGAGTCTGTCCGACAGAAGGCATATGACCGTTACTTTTCGCGTTATTAGTCTTTTTCTTTTTTTCTACCAATTCCATTGGTAGTAAGCTTCCGAATGGATCCGTAGCAATTCCTTGTCCTTGTGAAACTCATACAACCGTAACCACATGCTATAGGTTGTCTACAGGAAGAAATTCAAAATTTTAATGAGATAGGGGAGACCGGGGCAAAGTGGAACGGCGGGGCAAAGTGGAACGCGGGGCAAAGTGAAATGGTAGCAAAAACGAATTTAGAGCGAATTTTGGGCAACTTTTTTTTAAACTTTATTAGTCGAAAAAAGATGAAAGGTCAAACGTTTCTGAGGGTCAAACAGTGGTGTATATCCCCTTAAGCCAGGGTGAAACTTCGAACCCAGGTGGAATTTGGAAGTTCTCGGTTGATAAGGATAGTCGTTGAGCGAGTCTGTATAGACTAAGGGATACCTAAAAAGTAACGAAAATTTTGGGCACAACTCATTTTTCCCCCATACGTCGAGGTAGAACATAGTTTTCCAGGTATGTGGCTTCAAAATGCTCCTCGTACCATAATTGTCATTCGAGTTACAAAAAAGGTTATTGCAAAAATTTGGCTATTTCCCTTACATTCTGCAATATTCTTCAAAAACTCAGGTGAAGGAGTAGGCAACTTAAGGATGTCCAAGTGCTTCGGCTATTTTTTACTCAATGAAATGCTTTTCTATTTTTGTCGTCGAATATCAGAGCTTTCATTTTAGCTCCATTTGACCCTAAGTTTCCAGACATTTTGCAATGATATTATTATTTAAAATGTGAAGGTCTGAATTTGAATCTCGATATTGAACCGTCAGAAAATATTTTCAAAATGTGAAAAAAATTAGAAAGAGTAATTTTTGGAGGAATTCATAAAACAATTGAAAAATTTAAATTTTTGAAAATTACGAGCATTTTTTAAAAATAATTTATGAACAATCAATTTTCCACGATAAAAATCATTTGTTTGGAAAGGCAAAAAATTTATTCATATTCAGAATTTTACCAGAAATCGATTCCATGCCTAAAAAAATAAGGTATCTGCAAGTTTAAACAATTTCAATTAATTATTTATAAGAAGGGAACCGACTGTAATGGCTAGGTGGGTGAGGTGTTGCTCCAGCGGACATCCAAGCTAAGCAGCGTTGAGCTGGGTTAGTACTTGGATGGGTGGACCGCTTAGGAACACCTCGCTCGCACAAAAATTGCGGGTGGTAGGTACGGCGTAGCGGCCTAGTGTCTCTATCTAGTCAGTGTGACAGATGGATATATTAGGGCACTGCACAAATCGGCCGGCTGTGCGACTGGGGTTTTACATGGTTTCCCGTGCAGTCCTAGCTCGAATGGGGCACAGCTAAGAGTAAGACGGCCATGATACCGCAGATAACAATGAGAGGAAAAAAGAAAGGAGGGAAGGCAGGCTAGAGGAGGGGTTTCAAATCGAGAATTACTTCGATAAAACCAATGAAATAGAAAAAATAAAAAATATATATATATATATTTATAAGAAGGGAATGTTTAAAAAAATGATAATTCCCTATAAAATTATAATTTGAATGACGCTGAATATCCATGATTTTTTTTAAATTTTTGTCACCCAATTTGATTGACAAGTGTGATGATTGAAAATTGTTGAATCTATACTGTGGTTTGTATCAAACTATAAAAGATACTTGGATATCCTTAAACGGTTTTACCACTTCGTGACTGAATTGAAAAAAAAAAGAAAAAGAAAAGTAGTTTCATTCTATGGAATNTTTTTATTTGACCCTCAACAACTGTTGGTCCTTCCGATTACTTCCCTGTTTGACCCTTAAGCGTGTTTGACCCCTCAAGAAAAAAATTTGCTACCGTTCCACTTTGCCCCGACGTTCCACTATGCCCCACTGTTCCACTTTGCCCCGGTCTCCCCTAGATTTATACAAAAGATTAAATATTTCCGAAACTGCTAGGCTCATCCAAACAATCATTGCCGCCAGGAAAGAATGATCTTAGATCTGAGTGGTGGGGGACGTTGAGTCGGGGCTAAATTCGAGAGAGTAGGGGTACCCAGCCACGATCATTCTTTTGTGGCGCGGACTATACCAACCCTCAATGTTGTAAGAACTATAATCATACCAAATTTCAACTTCTTATCTCCATTTTTTCTGAAGTTATCGTGCGTACAAAATTTGTGTTGAACATATGGAAAAACGACAATATCTCCAAACTGCGTAATAACGGGTAAATATTGTGATTAGCCCTGATAGAGGCCATCGAGACGAGTATTTTGAAAAAAGAAACATTGAAATGGGTATAGTATTTTTTGAGATATTGAAGAAAAACGAAATTTAAATAAGTTGTGATATCTCAGGAACTACTGAATTGATCGGCTGAAACAGCGCATCAAAGTTGAGCGCAAGCATAACTACAATGAGCCATAATTTCCAATTTTTACCTATGAATTTCACCGAATTTATGTTGAATTTTCTAAAAATTAATCACCAAAAACCCATGTTGTCACATAGATAGACAGAAACAAAACCCTAAAATAGTGTATATTTTGTCATTAGGGTGCAGAAAACTTTTCCGACGAATATGAGTTTGCCCGAGCCGAAGACGAGGGCTGCAATCATATAAGCTAGGAAAGTTTTTTTAGGCCTTGTGAGGAACTATATTTTTTGTCATAACGGCTCCAGGCAGTGATTCACGGACACGTAGTGTCCGAGAAGCGCTATTTTATGGCCGGAATGACAAAAACATCATTTCTTCATGTTTCATAACATTCTAGATAATTTGCAATCGAAGGTAGAACATCGGAAAATTAATCAAATATAAGGCTTCCATTCGGAAGTAAAAATTATCATGCCCTTTGAAGGAAGATGCCGGATGGGCACACCCGTACATCTTTGTGAGCATCCATAATAATATATATGATGTACAAAAGGGTTTTAATTAGTTAATACCAACCTGGGCGAATTCACAAAATTTAATTTGAAATGTTTCCTTTCATTGAAATTGATCAACATTTTTTTAATTGCATTCCAGACGTCCCGTACTGCCTCGTAATCCACCGATGATGGACCGGCCATGACCAGGACCGGATATCAACCTTGGTCGCAAGTGCGAGCCGTTCACCATCTCTGCAATCGGAATGGGAAGACGATCAGGTGAGAGACTATCATCATTGCTATGCCTGCAAGAAGCACTTATTATCAGTTTATTAAACTCATATGCTCGTGACAGATGGGTGGAGTAGCTCAATACACATCTTCATTGATTTATTGGTCCCAATTGTTGGTTGCCTCTTGATCTGAAATTATAACTTGTTGAGTAGCTAGGCTGAACCACGAATCCACTAATCATTTATGAGACTAATCGTACTATCATTAATTGCAGTGAAACGATTCATTCATCCTGCAATGAAAATTTTCTCGACAGGTACCTGCTCGAGAGGATCTAAAAAGAGTGCATTGTATTACACCACCGATTGTGGAGACGACAAGGAAGATATAGGATTGAACGCTCAGCAGCGCTCGGTGTCACTAGTGAGTGCAAGAAAAACATAAAAGGAACCAAATAGAGATAAGGAGAAAGCGTAGAGAGGAGGGTTCAGATTTGAAACAGACTTGAAAACAGGGTCGTAAGGTGTTAGCTATAGTTCTCCCTTTCTCCACTCGTTAACTACCGGAAGTGCTGACTTGGATGGACTCGAGATCTCGAGACAATGCGAGGTCGAGTGTCGCATGGATATGCATGAATTTCACGAGCTCTGTAGATACATACCTTATCCGGAGGCCGGATCTATGTGCAAATCGATGGGAAGTCACTTCAAGTGAATTCTTGAATTGAGGTTTTTCCCGAAGTTTCCTGCAGACCGATAATTTTTTCAATTTGCATATTCGGATGAATAACCTGTCTCTGTAAAAATGTATAATTAACGATATGCTACCCATAATTGTCTGTAAATTGCTAATAACATATGAAAGAAGCTGGATCCAAGTTGAAAATCTCCGTTTCATACGACACCGTACAACTCATTCTGCAATTCATAAAAAATTTTATGGCAAATTTTGAGTAATTTAAACTGAGGCTTTTCGCTTTTTTCACATTACGAACATTTCCTTTAGGAACATAACTTCACGTAAAGTTTGCAGTGATCTATTCGATTCTGATTCAAGTACATCTATACTTTAAAGTATTCCTATTTATATTTATAAGTATAACTATGCATAGTTGTGTCATCGCAGCCGGATTAGTTCAATTATTTCTCTCAAAATAACAATTAATTCATTAAAATAACCCAGCTGCAAAGGTCCTGTAGACTTAAATCACGAACTAGATGGAATTTCCACGTACAGTGGTAAGCCTGAGTTATCGTATTTAATTCGAAATTGCACAGTAAGTAGTTCTGAATCCCAAGTTACATTTCAAAGGGGCCATGTCGACGTCGTCATTCGGGGTCAGTCTTCTTCCCTGTACACATTTTCCACCAATCAGCAAGCTCACCTCGTTTCCATCCACCGGAATCACCCATGGAGAGTTTCCTTATCCTTTCTGCTAAATTCTCCTCCGATTCACATCCATCCTCACACCTTTCTCGGTCAAGGTGATGATTAACTGGCCTCTGCACGGGGTCGAGGCCAGTGCCCTTTTTACCAACTCCTCAGCTGTTCCTGAGTGCTGCACGGAAAGAAAAGTTGAATAAAAAGTACTAGAAAATCGTAGCAAACTTGTCTATACGAAAGGTAATCGTGGAGCGAAATTGTAGTTCAATGAAAAATACCTTTTGTGGAGGATATCTTAATATTCGTTCGATAAAAAACACATCTGGATGCAAAAATTACTGTTCCCTGGACAGTAAAATTTCCCAAATAGTAGAGTATTTTCAAAAGTGAATTGGACAAAAATGAAATTTTTCCATATCGCGTTTGGTAAAAAATATCATTCTGCGTTACAGAAAAATTCCTCCATATATGTGAATGATGAAGCAATCTTGAGCAATCATTCCAATTCATACGATAATTTTTGATAGTATGAATGGTGAATTTTACAGTTTCGGCACAAATTACCTTCACGTTTAGTAAATTTTCTCAAGTCAGCGAAAGACTAAGAAATGGATTCCGCTCGACGATTACATGACTTGTTTGGTAATTTTTCTCCAATTTTTGCTCCGTATGGGCCGATGGTGACAGTTTCTGGGTACTTCACCATAAATCATGACCTCATGGATTTTCCGCGGACTATCTTAAACCACTAATGAACGTCGCTCAAGTTATCAAAACTCCAAATATCGTCCCACGTAACATAATCCCATCCCTCAAAACATTGACCACGTGAGTTCACATTTCCATCATTCGTTCTCAATTACTCTCCTCTTCCTGACGCATTTGTTATTCCTCAGGTTTATTGAGAGAATAATGTCCAGTCTCTTCACGGATCGAAGTCGTCCAATAACAATTCTTGGATCCTGAATGACACCAGTCATTCTGAGGTCAGAAACATCGCCTCGGGACGCAAATCCGGGTGACTTTAATGTTTTCTCGAATATTGATATGAGTCTCCCGTTTCTTTACCACCGAAATACCCTGGATGATTGCTCAAATTTTTGTGAATCCCTTCATATTTTCAGAAGAAAGAAGTTTAGAAAAAAACATCAAGTGACTTTTTTGATGGCGATTGAAAGTTCCTGCACAGAAGGTTTAATGAGAATGTTTATTTACCGAGGCTGAGAGTTTTCCTTTATAGTTGTTAATTACTGAGATATTTGAAAAAGAATCCGTTAAAATTTCCAAATCTCATTACCAAGTGTTTTCATCAATCCCTTAATATCTTTGAGAGGAAGCCGTTTAAAGCAAAACATCAAAGTAGCTTTTCATAGAAAATTGAATTCTCTACAAAATGGCCGAGAATCATTAAAGAGGAACTTACAGGACGTCCGTAGATAAAAGCTTTAGTGGTTACAAAGAATTTTCCTCTTCTATGGTCAATCCATTAGGTTTAAGAGCATTCTTTTCTGTTACCAAAGTATTCAAAAAACCGATGGACATCTTTTGGTTTCCGATTTCATTATAAATTCTTTGTACATGTCTGGTTCGAAGACAATTTTCGCTAAAATCATCCATAATAGTTTTGGACCTGACTTTTAAGGGGATAAGCAGGGCCCGAGACTTCGTGCGATTACGACTGAATTGAATTATCGTTGATAGCAATCGTAATCATATGAAATCCCGGGACCTGGTGATGAGCCACCAATGTGGATTAATGAGCCTAATTTATTGTTCTTATGAAATTCTCCGATCACCGTTCTCTGCAGCTATTCGCCGATGTCAAAATATACCAATTTACTTCCACTATCTTCATCGAAGCTTTGAATATTATAAAGTATGCGAGAAGGTTTTTAATGGGACGAGTATTTTTTGCAGAAAATATTTCTCCAGAATTTTCAGAAGTTTATTCAGATAAATCGGCGAAAGATTCACCTTTAGAGCCCACTAGCAAAGATCGATCTGTGCACCTTTTGACTTATCCGATCATAAATCATCACCCTCTGTTTTGTTCACTCAAACTGTGTCCCATCATCTCTCCCATTTCAGAAATGCAATCGAAACCCTCAACAGTTTCCTCCTCCATACCTGTTCTTGCTATCCATTGGGTGAAACTGTGTCCAGGAAACCGCATCGTAATAATCTTCTCATAAAACTGACTTGGACTCAGGCCAAAAAAGCCAAATTTCTACTCGGGCAATGTCAGTCAGCCAGGACATGCCACATAACGTTACGACAGTCGTGCCTTATCAGTATTAGGGGGTTACTAAATGACTCACCATGCTTGTGAATTTTTTGAAAAGCTATATTAAATCAATTTGTGAAGAATGAATTACGTTTAAAGAAGGATGGTGAAGTGGGAGGTCCCGTAAATCTACCTCCTCAGCGATCATAATAATATATGGGATGTCGTAAAGAATTTTAAATCTACAGATAGCTATGGGAGCATCTAATAACAAAGAAGTAGTGCTAGAAATTACATTTCTTGCTTGCACAAACAATAAAATTATCTTGAAAAGAGTAAATCTATTTTATGTCATTAGGCCCACTAAACCGCGATTCTAACATAATCCGCGATTGGGCCCGATAGATTGCGGTTTTCGGGCCCAATGACATGTTTCCCACAAAAAATCATTTTTTGATCATTTTCAACAAACCATTTATTTGGCACAAGTAAGACTTGTTAGAGAACTCTGCTGTTTTTCTCTCAGTGCAGAATCCTCGATGGGGACGTGGCAGGCATAGCATCCCATACAATAAGTTGGAGCGCTTCCCACCGGGAAGGAGAACCTCAGCCATATACCCCCACTCTACTCCAATCGCCACTCATACTCGTACTCCCCACCACTCAAATCAAGGCAAAACTTCCTTACTTCTTTGGTAAAACAAAATATAGGTATTTAATATTTAAAACAGATGAGCGGTCTTAAATTTCTGGAAATATTGTTCTCATTTTGAGACCACTATTTTGCAGTGATATAACTATATCTATACGTATAACTACAATTATTGAAAAAAAGAACAAAAAATTGCGCCCAACGTGGGGCTCGAACCCACGACCCCGAGATTAAGAGTCTCGTGCTCTACCGACTGAGCTAGCCAGGCTTGAATGGAAAAAAAATAAAGATCCATAAGAGCCGGCCGTAAGTTTCCTCGAAATTACATGAAAGAAACCGCGTTGTTTCAAAAAAAAATTATAATAATAGTGATAAAACTTTTCTATCGGTCATCCACCACCACCAGTTGCATTCAATCACGCGTATTGACCAATTTTTGAAACTTCCTAAGTAATATTGTACCGATTATTCAATTACACCTGCTGATAATTAGCATTCTGGAATATTTATTACAATTAAATCCAATAAAACCTACAATTTTCCAGAATTTAAGGTGCCAACTAAAAGCTATAGGATTACGAGCTCTTTGAATAAACGCATTTCTGATATCTTTGAGGCGCCGAGCGCCTGATATACACTGATAGAACGGTTTAGTCGAACCAAACGAGACTTTTTAACTATTACCACGATTCATTAACTATTAACGAATCGCGGTAACAGTTAAGAAGCCTCGTTTGGTGCAACTGAATCGTTCCACCTTTTCTATCAGTGTAGATAGTATAGGTACAACTATATAGTATAGTATATATAGTATAGTTATATATCGTTATACGGTACATGCAGCAAAAAATATAAAACCATAGGACCCGATGGGTACGCGTATAGCGCACGGAGCGTGCCCGATACCCTAGCACTTTAAACATTTGGAAGCATCCATTTCATTCTCTCTCCCCGTAAAAAAAATCAATCAATCAATCAAAATCAAATGCAACGATCCGATTCAATATAAGTAGGAGTCAATATCAAATGTAAGGATCCGCCTTAATTTAAGTAGGGATCCGATTTAATATAAAAAGAGATCCGATTTAATGAGTACACTGTAAAGAAATTCTAATATCTGGAACATTAACTTGAGACAAGTAATTGTTCTTCAATCTCTTAATT